AAAAAAACCAAGTGCAGCATTTTATATCATGCCTCCACGGATTATCTACGTGAAAAAACAACCTCGAAACTGTTTTGTCAGCAGTAAATCGCCTTCCAAATCCTCTGAGAATTATTCATCACATGAAACTTGTTCGCCGTACTCCCCACAATCCGCCCCTTTCGCTCTTTTTGACACAAAAGCCAACCACCAGTTCACATGTTGGCATTTGATTCATCGCAAAGCGCTACATTAACATGTCTATTCACAAGTATTATTCGGTTCCTGTTAGAGAGCAATGGACAACTGTTACAACCGAGTGGGCGGGGCGGCGGCCACTGGCTTCTGTGAAGGAAAAGATTCACGTGGATTTGGGACGAGGATGTAATATTTGGAACTTTTTGTCAATACTGAAAAGATGTTCTTTTTAAAAACTTCTGTAGAGCGAATACACAAACTTATTTTTCAATTTTTTGGACTTGTTCTGTTTTTTATGTTTTTTTTCTGATTTAACTACATAAAAATTTTTTATTTGCAATAACTGGTTGAATTTAGCAAGCGTCGATCTGACAGTGGAGCTTAACAGAGAGCAACGAGGACAGGTAAAATTCATTGGCACCTTTCCAACTTTCTATTTTTCAAAAATTATTAGCAGGTGACAGCTATACGATACCCAGCAACTAGGACAATTGAGACAGTACCTGCGCCAGAAACCACGACGGACAACAAGGCTTGTTAAAAAAAAATTTTTTTTAAGGATGCTGAAGTCGATTTTTCAGACGCCTAGTTTTATTTCGCGACTTACGCATAACGTTGAACCTCCGCCAAGCCGGCAATACACTTACACTTCACAACCGACAAGTCCGCAAATACGTAGAAATATGCCACCGACTACCGTATACCGAGCCGTCGATATTCCATTTGACGAATCGCCAGCTGCTTATCAACCTAAGAAGGTGGGGATATCTAGAATAAACAGATTTATTTGATTTTAGAAAAAAGTAGGAGCTCATCGTTGATAAAAATTAATTTCTTTTGATAATGTCATTTCGCAGCGTTGAGTTTTGAACCTCTTAATTTGCTATGCAGTTTTCATCTACGCGGCGGAAAACAAAAAAACAAAAGCCACAGGTGAAAACTAAATTTTTTTTTCGAAGCCAGACGCATAAATAAGGATCAAAAACAAAAAATAACAATTTGCATATAGTCTACCGGCAGGCGAAACAAAAACAAAAATCCGGGGGGTGCGTATCAGTTTATTAGCCAGCGCATCACGTGTAGGTTTATAATGGTGAAATTACGCGCGCGCCGCGTTCGCGCCTGCTCAGTTCAATGCTTTCGCGCCTTCGTCCGAGAATAGCCTATGGCAGCCCAATCGTTACAGGACGAGAATCTCCATACAATCATGGTAACGATGGGAAACCATCCGGTCCAAAAAGGACTTGGATTCACAATCACTATCGAACGTGGCCGACCAACCGTTGATAGCGTTGTGGTTGGTACTCCAGCAGACCGAGCTGGGCTCCTTGTCAGTGATGTTCATACTTGCATGGGTTTTTGATCACAGTAACCAGAAAAGCAACGTTGTAGATTGGTGATCATGTAATCTCCGTAAATGGCGAAGACCTCAAGGATAAATATCCTTCGGCAATAAATCGACTCTTGCACGATGCGGCGCGTCTGGGCGAGGCGGAAGTCGTCGTCGAGCGTAAGAGCGGTAGGCAATTTTTAGATACAAAAAAATCGGCATGGCAAGTGTGCTCTAATTCATCTCCTCTACAATTTCACTTTACTCATATGCTTCTTGAATGCTCCTAAAACTTCTTAATCTGTCCCATTTTCCTTCTTTTATTTCAGCAAAAGTCGCTCAAGTGAAGTCGTACACGTCACCGGAGAATTTCGATCGAGCTCGTTCTGTTTTCAACGAAACGAAAACTGTAGACTCATACGCAGAGTTCAAACGAAAACATAGCCGAGGCATGAACTTCTACTTCTCTGTTCTATCTATATAAACGCTAAAGGCTTGCGAGAACTGGTCTTCATTGGCCAGCGGGATATCTTGCCGAATAGGCTCCACCCGCGACAGCTGCCATATTGCTATAATGTGTAGAAATGCATGCTTTGTCGTAGATGTCCGGGTGGTTTCTCTTCCCCTCTTCCCTCATTTTTCTGCACAAATACTCTACCCGTCTCCACCGAGTTTCTCTCAACCTTTCATGATGAAGCACGAAAAAAACGAAAATTAGATTTTGAAGACCAGTTCTCGCCTAGTTTTGCTTCTCGATCTCTCGGTGTTATTTCAATTTTCTCTTGTGCATGGATATGGCAAAATAATGAACATAGCAAAAATTCATAAAGCCGTTAGTTATTTATCCAATCTTCTAGTTTTTTCACAAATTTCTTCCTGCCTTTTTTTCGATTTAGAAAAAGTAAATTTTTTTCATAAATATGTGAAGGTAACAAATTTTTTATTGATTTTGAAAATACTTTTTTAGCATCGCGAGCGGATCAGCCATCTGCGCGGGATTACAACTCTCTTCCAAGATCCACTTCAACTGGCAACATACCAACCAAGAGAGATAATTCGCTGTCCAGTAAGTACCCTTTGATTCAATGGTACAGTACTGGTTTCAGTGCGGAGTAGGCGAAGCTTTCTAAGCGTCCGCATCGCTGGAGGCTTCGCGAGCGGACAGCT